TGAATAGTGGCACTGATTTTTAAAAGTGCTGATGAGTGTGAGCGAAAACGGAACTGAGTTGCTCTCGTGAAGCTTTTTGAGGGACGGACATTTCACGGTGAGTGATATTTGCAGTAGTGGTGATGATGATAACATGCGAACATGGTTAGGAATGAGCGATGAGTTAATCAATTAATTGAGAATATGCCTTGCAGAAGAACGGAAGTGGAGAAATGAAGTATAAGGATGAAAGTAAGAAAAAAGAAATGAGGGAGTGTTTAGTGGCGGTATGTAGGGTTGGTTGTGTTGTGTGTTGTTAGTGGTGTTCAACTGCTACTATATTGGCAAGATCAGTGGTGATTAATTACGTACGTCGAAAAATAAGATATCCAGATAGCGGACGGAGCACAACACAGCTTACTCATAATCACTACTATCATTCATTGTTTTTGACATCATAACATAACTTTGAGTGCCACTACGTCGTCCTAATCATATTTATGATATGATTTTTGAACGAATAACATGTATCACTACTACAACATTGCTTTATATTATACATTTTTCAGTTTCTTATTTTCATTTAAGAGGCATTATTTTAGTGTTTTTTTTGAATCATACACACATACAGTGAATCACGAGTGATTGTGGAAATGGGTAAAGAATCGTCCTGTAGAGAGAGTTCTACCATTTGCTTTCAATCGAAATCATTGAAGATTTCATAAGATGGATTGCATTCGTNCAACGGCGAGGCAGTCAGCACGAGCAGATGGTTGCTTGTTTTCCGGTTTGGTGCCATGATAAATCATGCATAGTTATTGTTGTTGATTTTGGAGTATTTTCTGCGATTGCTTTAAGCACAAACCGGTGGTTTTGTGAACTGATAGCCATCTGGCAGAGAGGAGAGTGCTTGTTCGCTTTCGTTGTGTACTTTCTTGAAGCAAAAAATCGAGGAGGGCTGTTTTGATGATCTGAATACAAGGAATCATAATAATAGCACAGGGCGGTCATCCCGCCATCGTTAATCACAAATGACATATACGTGTAATGATGCAAATACGAAGAAAGCTCATAAATTAATTAACGAATTGTCATATGTCGCATCACTAATGATATTCTTATGCAAATGATATTCTATTAATCTGATGAACATTCGACCGATGAGTTAATTGAATTCATGCATGACATTATTGTTTGCTTATAGTTTGACAACATCAGGGTTACACGGCAGTTTCTATCGTTTTCATCGTATTACGTTGAATAAAATAGTGTTTTATGTAAAATGAGGTGTAGTTCTGTTTTTTGGGTTTGTAATGATTTACTGAATAGTGGATGGATGCACTTATTGGTTCGGTATCACTATCGAAAAATAATTGCTTGCAATTATCCTTCTTGCAATGTGTTATTGTTTCCTCGTTGTTTGCATCATTTATTTTCGTTTTTTAAAAGATTTAGTCTTGAAATTATGCATAATGCAATCGACATTCATTGTTTTCACATGTTCTGTTCACTGAATTGAATGCAAAAAACTGGTCGTATTCAAATGCTTGCATAATTTAGAGTTAGAAAATTATAACAAATGAAGAAAGGAAGCTTCTGGTAAATGTCGAGGTGATTTATGATGTAAAATATTAGTTTTTGAAAGTGCAAGAGTGCTTAATGTGAATGTGATATTTGCCAAATAGGATGATTGTCGTTGATCTTGTTGTAGTAATCGGCTAAGAGAGATATTCCTTAGATGTACGCTTATATGAGAATTGCAGTGCACAGATGGCATATTTGCCTTTTAGGACACTTCAAATTATAAGATCGATACAGTGGTGAAGATGATCGTCATCGGCACAAATTAGGTGAATATAGGCGATATTTTAGGCGTTAGATGATGCAGCCACATGGTGTATATTTTAAGGATATTG